CAAACAATAATTCATAGCTTCGGAGCTCCAAGCGTTCGTCACATTCTTTATTACCACATGAAAATTGTCCTTTACCTGTCACCACTTCCATCTCAGTACGCCAACGAAGACCAATTTTACCCTCTTGATATCGAGATAAATCAGCCAGTGCGTACTCGCGAAATAGCTGTTGATAATAGCGGACACTCATACGAATCTGCCAATCTTTTTCGCCCAATTCTGCGTCAACTTCGTCATCACGTATGAATCGAAAGTTTTTTTTGAGAATCTTTAAATCATGTTGAGATACATGCTGATCAGTATGAGGAACGATAGAGCTCGCATTGCTACCGACACTGTGGCTACGACGAGAAGCGGAGTATAGTCCAAGAAGTTCTTGATGACTTGTGAATTTTAGTGGAAAAAAACGGTAGAGATATGTATTAGTCGAGAAGAGAATATGTTAAGAAAGTAGCGAGAGCATTACCGCTGGAACAAACGCTCCGAGCTTTCGCGGTTGGTACGCTTCATTATATTACTTTTGAATTTAAATGCTGAATTTATTATATGTTGATAGGCATATTATCCTATTGGTTTTTTGTTAATTGTTTTTTGTTCGACAAAAAATATTAATATGACAATAAACTTTATGAATCGCTTCACCAAGCAAGCAGCTTAGTAGCCAAACTTGTCATTTAGTTGTGTACGACCATCACCCGTCTGGTTTGTTGGAGGGACCCACGCATGGTCACCTCCTTCTAAAATACTGGCACCTCCACATTGCTTCTCACCATCCACTTTTATTTTTTTCGAGACTGTAACCATTTTGCCCGAAATTTGTTCACGCTTGAGTGGAGCTGCGTTTTTTACTCGATGATTCTCCAATTTCTCCTTTACAATCGACTTATTTTGTAAAGGCGATACACTTTTCTTCGCTAGAACATCGACATTGACGAGTTCACTACAATGTGGAATCATATCATTTTTTTCAGCTTGGTCGGATGAGTTTATAGCAAACGATGAGACGTTTGAAGTGGTGATCACAGAATCATCTACTGCGTCTTTCACTGGAGTTCGAACCGGCAGAGAAGCTAATGCTGGAGTGGCTACAGCTAAAAGGTGGTGCTGACGCTGCAACTCGGTTTTGATATCGGCTTTTCGTTTCATCAACAAGTCAATCTCCCCCAAATGCAACTGAGTCGTTGTAGCTGACATGAAAAGGTCTAGTGAGTCTTCCTTTTCTTGCTTCGAGTTATTCTGCTTCGGGTCAGCTTTAGTCGACGCGGCAGTCACATCATCTTGCAGTCGTGTCAGCTCCTCCTCTAATCGTTTGATATTACTTTGAATCGAGTCGACAGTGAGCACCTCTTTCTTTTGAGCCTTCACATCAGTGGTCGGACCAGCAGTGGCAACAGAGATAGCGCATCCAGTCACCTTCTGCTTTCGTGCAGCGATTTTCAGTTGATTGGCTTCAGTTCGATCGTAAAAATCATCTTCATCGCTGCTATATCCGTACAGTTCCTCATTTACATTTGTTCTTTTTCTTGATCTTAACTCACCGGTGCTTTTTGTCTTTGCCCGTTCGTCATTCTTGGCTTGAATTTTAGCTTCCAAATCATCAATTTCTTTATGCAGCGTTTCGATTCGTTGTTCATTCCGTTCCAGCGTAAGTTGCTGCCCCTCTGACAATCCATCTAGTCGGTTTTGCTTAGCTAAAATTCGTGATTTCTCCAACTTAAGATTTTCCATTTTTCGAATTCGTGTCGTGAGCTGACGATATAATCGCCGATCTTTCTCGTTCACGTCCGACTGACTTACACTCGACGTATACGGCCGATCGTCTTCTTTTAACTATCATGCATTGATCATTAGTCTAGATTTTAGCCATTCAATTGTATTCTTCTTACATTTCGAAGATAATCTGGTAGGTCATCGTTGCGCTTCTGCGTCTCTTCTTCACTTTCTCCTTCTTCTTCTTCTGCGTCATCTTTAAAGCCCCACGAAACTTCTCGCTGATCATCTTTTCTCTTTAATCTTTCACGAAACTTTTCGAGATTTAGTGATTCATATTCTGCTGGCAGTAGCTCTGGAGGGCCACAGACTGCATAGAGTCGCGTTGATTCGCCGAATCCCAATACATCCCCAATATGAAGCCTTACAAATTCTTCGACCGGTATGCGCTTTTTGTTTACAAAACAACCGTGCGTACTGCGAATGTCATAGAGGAAGAGTGCGCCTTGCTGATCAAATTGCAGCGCAGCGTGAGTGCGAGAGATAGATGGGTGAGCCAGTGTCCAGTCGCATACAGTCGCCATGCGTCCCGCCAACACGTAGCTCCGTCCATTCGTACAAGGCAATTGAAGTGACTCTACAACGACGCCACCTTTGATCACGTCCATATAGATACCAAAGACATTGGAGCCCGAGATGCTCCACTCTGGTGGGGAGTACGAAGTCATGATGTATAATTTTGAATAATTGTTTATTATCGTGGGTGAAATACCTCAAATGTCAAATTTAATCCATGTCATTACTTCACCATGAAGCGACGTGTGTGGAATAACAGCTCAACCCCGACACATACGCGTCGTAAGCCTGAATGGAATACATATCTTACTGACGATGCACAGTACAAGCTTAATCAGCAGCAACAGCTTCAGCGTGCTCTTCAGCAGCTAAGCACAGCGCACTTTTCGGGTCGTAGTCCAGCCGCATCAACTTCACGTCGTCGACTTAAAGCCGCGAACGCTCATAGCTCAGCGTGGAGTACACCACGTAAACGAGAGAAAGATACTTATAGAGCTACACATTTAGACGAGGTAAAGGATACGGGAGAGCTCAATACTCAGCGACGACTACAGTTTGATGTCTCGACAGATCTAGAGGAGACGACGCCTCGGCGACGAGCTGGAAGAGCCAATACAGTGTCTTTTCAAGAGGCAAAGATGGATTCAAAGCATAAAATGACATTGCAAACAGAACTGGAAGTACTAGAGAAGATGTTGTGGCAATTAGAGACTGAGACCGAGAGTTGTACCAGATTTGGGACGCCGCTTAAGACAACCACAGAGGAGGAAGAGATAGTACAGCATTCTGATGGGTGTTCAGAGCCAGAGGAAGAACGAGATGAGATAGATATGGATGCTCGGCTTGAAGACATTTGTTATAAATCGCTTGAAATTGGTCTAGAGCTGGCTCGAAGGGTAGACTCAGTACGTTATCTCTCGTCTTACATTACGATTCTATACGTCTAATCAATTTGATTTGATTTAAGCTCAAAACTCAAGTTGATAGTGATCAGAAACTTCGGGTCGATCGAGAGCTACAAATAAATATGCTGACACAGGAAGTGCGCTCAACTCAAGCCAAGTGCAATTACCTTGAGGCAAAATATCAAAGTATGGCAGCCGAAGTCGATGATATGGTCTGTAATCCATATAAACTCTTGTGCTTGTAATCGTTGATTTTGTTTTTTTGTCTATAACATAGCGAGATGCTGTCATTGCCACTGAACAAACCATTCATAGAATGACATTGGCGCTTGAAAACTCCCAGCGTCGGCGGGTCAAATCTTCCTATCCAACGACACCACGCAAACCAGGTATTGCGTTTCTGTATGTATAATTAATGATAGCAACTTACTGACATCTTGATAATACAAGGTGACAACGTTCAAGTAAGCTCCCAAAAGGGATCAACGCCAAAGAAGCAGAGCAATGTGGTGGAACAACAAGAAAATATAATGTCGAATGGGCAGCGAGGAAATTGAGACAATACTTTAGATTTTATAGCAAGGAAAGTTGAGCTTGAGACCTGATCTCCTGCTAAGCATGTACTGCTCGTAATTACCTAAAACGCCTGCTAACTGTCGATGCAAATGACGGTGTATCTGACTGATTATGCAATGATTCAGCCTGTAAAGTATAAGGGATAATGTGGCTATATTTTCAGATTGAATGGCGACTATTGAGGCCGTGAATTTCAAAAAGTGTTTGAATCTTAATGGTGGATGGATGTAGATGCTGAAGCAGTCGTAGCGTATGCTTGCTATTTTTCAATACAATATTAAATGCTTAGCCGTTCATTTACTCAAATCTACTATATTTCTAAATCTCTACTATGTCGGTCACTTTGCATTTCTGATGGTATGGATGAACAACATCATTTGTAGATCTTGTCTTATCAAGAACAAGATCAATAAAAACTCCTAGTAAACTTGCAATCTGCATTAACAAACAAATTCGTCTTTGCTATACCTACGACCCACTGCTTTGAGGCGGCAAACCTTTCCTTTTTTCGAGTATCTCCGCAGCTGCCTTAGATAGCACTCGCCTATACGCTCTGATATGGGGAAATCGGGTGTTCCTTACATAGGATTCAAAATTTTGCTGAGCCCAACCGTTCTTGTCGATATAATGGGCTGCCCGTTTATAAAAATAGTTGTCCACGAATTTGTATCTTTCTTCTGACGATGGATCAGAAGAGGAAATTTCAATCTTGGACAAGCTTTGTTCAGGATCACTTTTGTGCTTTTCCTTGGACTTGAAAACGCTTTTCAGTTGTGTCGGTTCTGACGATTTTGCAGAAATCTCAAGCTCATTAGCACCCACGTTTGCCATAAAAGTATGACTAGTTGCAAGCAGGCCAATCGCAATGATGACGTGACTGATACGAACCATGACGTAAGACTATTTGTTGAAATTCAATGCCCAAAAATTCTTTAAAGCCAATACTTTTTTTTTGACAAGTCTCAAAATCCGACTATACCTACTGACTTATTATCAATTCAGCATTTAATTCTACTTTTTTGACGCTTACTGTTTATTTCACTCACAATTTTTTATATATTCTTGGATTGGACTATATATACTCCGCTTCCACAGCGTCGGTAGCAATGCGAACTCAAGTCTTCTTTATACTGATCAGCATGTATCTCAACATGATTTAAAGATTCTCAAAAAAAAACTTTCGCTTCATCCGTGATGACGAAACTGACGTAGAGTAGAATTAGGCGAAAAAGATTGGCAGATTTGCATGAAGGATGCGCTATAATCAACAACTGTTTCGTGAATATGCTCTGACCGATATCGGTCTACGTTGGCGTACAAAGACGGAAGATATGACACGTAAAAGAGAGTTTTCATTTGATGATAAAGAATGTGACAAACGCTTGGAGATCCAATGCTATGAATTATTGTTTACATATCACGAACAAAGAGAGCGAAAGCGCTGTTTAGTCAAAGTCCGAGCGTGTACATT